CAAGTAAAATAGGTCTGTTATTATCCTTATTTCACTGAGGAGGAAACTGAGGCACAGAGATATAAAGTCACTGGCCCAAGGTCACACAGCTAGTGATTTGGATGCTAAATCTGGGCTCTTTGTCACCAACATGTAAGTAAATGTAAAGTCACACTGTGATTGGGACAGCAAGGAGAGGTCTGTGGTGCTCTAAGAGTTAAAACTTGGGGGGGGGGCACCTGGGTGGCTCAGTGGGTTAAAGACTCTGCCTTCGGCTCAGGTCATGACCCCAGGGTCCTGAGATTGAGCCCCACATCGGGCTCTCTGCTCAGCGGGGAGCCTGCTTCCCCCTCTCTCTCTGCCTGCATCTCTGCCTCCTTGTGATCTCTGTCTGTCAAATAAATAAATAAAATCTTTAAAAGAAAAAAAAAAAACTAGGGGGACCTCAACCTGGTCAGGGAGGTCAGGGAGGGCTTCCCTGAGGAGGTGATGCTTGAGCTGTGGTCTGAAAGGTGAGTTTCAAGTTGAGCAAGGTTCTTAACCCTGGATGCACAGTAAAGTCTACTGGGAGGCTTTGAATCAATCAGAGAGTCTGGGATGGGCCCAGACACCGGTACCGGGGTCTACAGCTTCACAGACGAATGAGATACACAACCAGAATGGAGCCTCACTGAACTCAGGGAAAGAAAAGAGACAAGAGCCCAGCACAGAGCGTGGCAAATGCAACCACCTAGTGTGGGGGAGCAGGGAGGACCCGAGGTTTCGAGGAGGAAGTTCAGGGGCGAGGAAGGGCACGGTCAGTGAGGGGCTGGAGGAACGAGGGACCACAGCATCGAGGGCCTCCTGGTAGGGTGATCCTACAATTTCTCTTCCAAAGGGGACTCTGAGAAAAAACAGGGGCACAAACCCTATGGGATTCCAATGCAACTGCACAAGCAGGTATGTGGATGGGCCAGCAGGGCAAAGGAAGGGAGACGTGTGACCCCCCTGCTTAGCAGCCTCATTGCACTGTCGGCTTTGCCCCAAGACCAGCTGGAAGCCACTGACATGTTTCTGGCAAGGATGATGACATGACCACATCTGGTTTTTGGAAAGACGACTCCCCTGCAGTGTGGAGGTGACAGGGTGGTGGGACAAAGAAGAAGGGGGGACGCAGAGCCAGAGGCTACTGGTCTGGGGGCGGGGGTGAAGGAGCCTGGGCTGAGGTCCCGTCTCAGACTCGGCTTCTTATTAGTCACGTGACCCGGCGAGTCCACTAACTTCTCTGTAGGATGGGCCCAGAAAGAGGATCTTTCTCCTGGGTGAGGTTTCGGTGAGTTCGTGCACATAAATCACTTAGAACAGTGCCTGGAATGGGATAGGCATTATATAAATGTTAGCTATAAATACTAGCCAGGAGGTGCGTGAGGAGATGACAATGGAGAGAACAGGCGGGTAGGAGAAGTCTAGGAACACAGAAGCAGAAGCCCCGAGAGCGGACCATTGCTCAGCAGGATTCTGGAAAATCACAGTTGAAGGGTGGAGAAGAGCAAAGACAGAACATTGCATGAGGGAGGGCTGAGCTACAGATTTAAGGAGCAGAGCCTGGACCGCAAAGGCAGGACTGAAGGCAAAACCGGGTCCAAGAATCTGAGTCAAGCACTTACATAATATGCCAGGCGTTGCATTAAGCTTTTTGTATACATGACCTTATTGAATACTCACAACTTGTTTAATACAACATGAAGTAGGCACGTGACCATTCTCATCTTGAAAATGTAGAAATGGGGGCACAGCCAGGGTAAGCCCCTTATCTAAAGTCACACAGCTAGTAAGTAGCAAAGCTAAGCTTCGAACCCAGGCAGGCCGGCTCCAGGCACACTCCTTTCTTTTCTTTTTAAGATTTATTTATTTGAGAGAGAGAGAGAGCATGAGCAGGAGGGGCAAAGGGAGAGGGAGAGAGAATCTCAAGCTGACTCACTGCTGAGCACAGAGCCTGAGGAGGGGCTCGACCCCAGGACCCTGGGATCTTAACCTGAGCCAAAGCAAGAGTCAGATGCTTAACTGACAGAGCCCGCCCAGGCGCCCCAGAGTCCACACTCTCAACATGCAAGACCACGAACCTGAGCCCAAACATTTCCCTCTGCCCTCATTCCCAAACTACCGCTAAAAATGCAACCCCCCACCCAAAAAAAATTTGTTTAAAAATAGGAGAACCGATTTTGGCCCAGAATTCAAGGGAAGGTGCCATGTAAATGCCAAAAACTCTTCACGTGTTTTTCAGTATCTGGAAACAGTGAGATCTGAACAGGCCTGGTTCTCCCAGTTCAGAAGAATTAGAAGAGCAAGGCCTGATAATGAGGGTTGTTGACCAAACACAAGAAGCCAAGGGGAGCCCTTGAAAGTGTCTATGCAGCCCCTGATAGCCAGAGGCACCTGATAATCATCAGAGTGATGAATGACCCCCCTCTCAAAGCCTTAGGAAGAGGCCAGGGCCTGCCAGGGCCACGGCCCATCTCACGGGACTTGGAGAATGTTAGAACAGCAGACGGCAGGGGCAGCACCTGCTTCCCTACCGGGCAGGGTCCAGAGCTAGGGCAAGCCAGTGTTCCAGCCGGTTTCAAGCTCCATCCAGCCGCCAGGGTCAAGGGAACTCTGCATACTTTTAAGGCTCTCCCGCAGTGGACCGCAGCTCCCTCTGTCCTCCCCAGAGGAGGCTCATTTGACTAAATCTACATTTTCTCTTCTCCCTTTAGAAGGACGGTGGCGGGGTGGATGGGAGGGCGGGGAGCGGCTGGGGGACTCAGTCTGTTAAGTGTCTACCTTCAGCTCTGGTCATGATCCCAGGGTTCTGGAATCGAGCCCCACATCCGGCTCCCTGCTCGGTGGGGAGTCTGCTTCTCCCTCTCCCTCTGTGGCCTCTGTCTCTCTCTCTCTGTCTCTCTCTGTCTTTCTCTCAAGTAAATAAATACAAAATCTTTAAAGAAAAAAAGAAGAAGGAGGAGGAGGAGGAGGAGCAGGAGGGTGGGAGAGACCTTCCATGGACAGTTCACACCTACAAACGTAGAGGTTTTAACCTGTGGCGCACAGCACCCCAGTCCCCAAAAATGTGCTTGAAATACACCACAGTTGTCATTCTCAGGTTATCTGTCAACATCTAAATTTAGAAGATTCAGACTTCCCTTGAAAAATGAAAAAATCTGCTGGACTTGGGCCTTTTAAAAAAGCAGGAATTAAAACAAAAACAAAAACAAAACTGGAGTGGGGTAGAGGCTTCTCCTCCCAGAAGGGGTGCACACACACCCCAGATGGACACTCTGACTCATTTACTGATCTGCCAGCCCCCCCATCGCCCGCTGGTTTTGAAGTTGGAAATCTTGATATATAAAATGGAATGCGTCCTTCCAAAGTCAGGCGGGCCATAAACAGAACACTGAGGAAAGCGTAGGAGAAAGGAAAGAGAGGGTCAGGGCGCCTGGGTGGCTCAGTGGGTTAAAGCCTCTGCCTTCGGCTCAGGTCATGATCCCAGGGTCCTGGGATCGAGCCCCACATCAGGCTGTCTGCTCAGCAGGGAGCCTGCTTCCCTTCCTCTCTCTGCCTGCCTCTCTGCCTACCTGTGATCTCTGTCTGTCAAATAAATAAATAAAATCTTAAAAAAAAAAAAAAAAGAGAGGGTCTACCGGATAATTCTATTTGTGCAGACTTCAAAAGAAGACACACGGTTTTCCAAAGCCGTGGCACCATTTTACATCCCAGCAATGGTACGCGAAGGCTCCAATTTCTCCACATCTTTGCCGACGCGTGTTGTCTTTTGGATTTGTTTTGCTAACAGTGACCCTGACCGGTGTGAGGTGGCATCTCGTTGTGGGTTTGATTCGCACTTCATGACCATGAGTGACATTGAGCGTTTTTTGTTTTTCCATGTGCCTGTGGACCATGTGTAGGTCTTCTCTGGAGAAAAGTCTATTCGGGTCCTTAGCTCATTGGGAGGGTCCTCACAAAATTAAAAAAAAAAAAAATAGACCTTCCATCTGATCCAGCAGTCCCATTTCTGGATGCTTATCCAAAAGAAATGAAATCAGGATCTCGAAGGGATATCTGCACCCCATGTTCACGGCAGCGCTATTCCCAATAGCCAAGACGTGGACGCAGCCTGAGTGTCCATCAACAGACGGATGGATAAAGACAGTGTGGCATATACAGGCAATGGAATCTTATTCAGGCTTTCAAAAAAAAAGGAAATACTAATATATGGGGCGTGGCTGACCTGTGAGGACGTGATGTCCATGAACTAAGCCAGACACGGAAAGACAAATACTGCCTAATTCCACTCAGATGAGATGTCTAAAACGGTCACACTCATAGAATCAAAGATGAGAATGATGGTTGCCAGACACTGGGGAGAGAGGTGGCAGGGGAGTCACCAATCAATGGGCATCAGGTTTCAGTTAAACAATACAAATAAGCACTAGAGGTCTGCACAATATCGTGCCTGTGGTCAGCAATACTGTTTTGTGCTCTTAGAAGTGTGGTAAGGGGGGGGGTGTCTTAGGGACACAGTCGGCTGAGCGTCCAACTCTTCATTTCAGCTCAGGCTGTGATCTCAGGGTCATGAGATCGAGCCCCACGTTGGGCTCTGCACTCTGTGCGGGGTCTGCTTGGGATTCTCTCTCCCTCCCTCTCTGCCCCTCCCTCCCCTGCTCATGCTCTCACCCTCCAAATAAACAAACAAATAAATAAAATCTTTTTAAAAGTGTGTTACAAGGGTAGATCTTATGTTAAGTGTTCTTTCTGAAATATAATGAAATGAAATGAAATAAAATAAAATGACAATAAATAGTTCAATGGAAGAAAAAAAAAAAAAGCCAGCAAATTCCTGCTGGCCTGGGTTGCTGGTCTGATGGAAGGTGTTGGGTTGGGGGAAGTAGAAGGAAACCCAGAAGGGCTTCTGGTTCCAGAGAAATGTTTGCTGTGTGGGAATTCATCAAGATGGACGTTTTCCATGCACCATAAACGGTTTTGTTTTTTTTTTTTTTCTTTCAAAAGTTTATTTAGTATCAAGCAAGAGGAGACTTTGCTCAACACTACAGAACATTTCAAGACTTGAGTTACAAAAGAATACCACATTATTTGCACTTGTAATTGGCTTCCCTTTTTACGCATGTTGGCAAGAGAAAAAAACTAGCATATGGCTGAAAGATAAAATAACTAATTGCTATGGAAACCTTTAAAATGAAAGGTGAGGCTTATGTTAAAAGGATGGATTAACATATTTAGTAAACCTAGTTTTTTGTTTAACACTAGTTAATCAAAGTTATTTTTTTCCTTTTGATGACCTATTTTTTTCATATACAGACTGGAAATAACAAAATTTTACATGTCTTTTTTTTTTTTTTTCTGCACAGGTTGATGTTTCCACAAAGTAGTTTTAAACTTCCATCCATTCAGATTTTAAGCATTTTGATTTATTTAAAAAGGGATTGTTCATAGAAAAACATTACTTTGAACAGTACACAGGACTGGTGGAGACTGGCTATTTCACAACACCAGACAGTACAATCAGTATCTGCCGTAGGGCTGGTCTCTGTAGACGCCCTTTGCGGTCCTCGCTGCAGGTGCCTTGTGTCTCGAGTTAGTCCAGTCCTCTTGCCCGTAGGAATCGTAGGTCTCTTCACTGAGTCCATGTCCGTAATCATAGTAATCAGCACCACTTTGGACAGGGGTGCTATAGCTGTTATCATAGGAATCATAACTCTGTTCGTCATAAGCAGTGCCATATCCATCATCATAGTCATAATCTCCATACGTCTCTTGTGTTGGGGGTGGTGGCAGAGGTCGGTACCCAGTTGAGGGAACTCCTCTTGCTCTGGGAGTGAGAAGTCCTCTTCCCCAACTCACTGGCCCTCGGGTGGAAAGGATTCCCCTGGAAGCTGGCGTCCCTCGTGGTACACCAACTCCAACTGGCCGGGCTGTGACTCCTCCCCTTCCCCTGGTTATTGCTGGGGTGGGTACACCTCTTGTACGCAAGGTGGGTTTCCCTCGAACAACCGGTACATCCACATTTTCTGAACCACCGTTCAAATATGTTAATTCTTGGAGCTGTGCTTGCCTGATTTCATCATTATAGTCAGGAATGAGCAACTTTTTGATTTCTTCCAGTGCGTGTCCCATCCGGGCATATGCTTCCACTGGTGGAGCGAAGACTTCAATGAGAACATGGAGGTCATCATTGAGGTGAAAGTACTTGGCCTCTCCACTTTTCCTCAACTCTTCTTCCTTTGCCTTGTCTCGCATGGAACCTTTCCCAAGGATGGACATTTTTGTCAACGTTTCTTCTTGTAAACACTTCAGAGAATTGCCACGGGGACCCAGAAGTTTCCCCACAAAGTTGAACTTAGGGAACTGCTTTACAGGGATTAACACTTTCTGTCCCAGCTTCATGTTATTATTCACCACATCGATGTACTTTTCTTCATCCTTGCCTTCTCCTTTTTGAAACTTTTCTATTTCTTGGTTCACCAGCCGCAGAGCGTGCGTGAAGGAGGGGTCCAGGGAGTCCTTCTCCGCCATCAGCTCCGGCAGGTACTTCTCCTCCATGCTCGCTGGCCGCCGGGCCCGGGACGCCGACGCGCGGCAGGCGAGCAGCGGCGGCCCCGCAACCCCCGACCCCGCCCGCGCCCCAGCGGCGCGCAACCCGGGCCAGGCGCCGCGGCCGGGGGCGCGGCGGAGCCAAGCCCGGCGGTCGGCCCGGCGGAGGCGGCACGAGGCGAGTGTCGGCCGCGCGGCTCGGGTCCCCCGGGGTGGCCGCCGACTGCCCCGGGCTGGCGGCCGCTGTTCCGGGACGCGGCCCCCGCAGCCCCGCAGCTGGTCGAGTAGGAGCGGACGCGGGCCGGCGCACTCAGGCGGACCCTCGGGCCGGGCCGGCGGCGAGCTCGACGAGCCTGAGGCAGTCCCGGGCGAGCCTCGCCAGCCGGCGCGGGCGCCTAGCTCAGCCGCGACCCGCACGCCGCGCGCCGCCCCGCGCTCTCCGAGCCGCCGCGCGGAGCGCCCGGCCCACCATAAACGGTTTTAAAAAACTTTGTGACCCCTGCAGACTAGAACCAGCACCTTTAATTCCAAATTCTAAATTCTCAGACAGAATCTGATCGGTCCAGCTTGGGACAGACGTCCACATGCATATGGAACAAACAGGGCCAAGGTCCCAGAGTTTCGGGGGGTGCATATCTGGAAAGGCAGATATGCAGAGAAGAGGGTTGTCTGCTTTTGGGAGATTTGTCCAGGTGGACACAGCTGAGGTTATGAGGCAGTCTGAGGTACTGAGTAAGAACATGGCCCTGGGGGCCAGACTGCCTGGGTTCGTATCCTGGCTCTACCATTCACAAGTCATGTGACCTGGGCAAGTCACTTAGTCTCTGAGTGCCTCAGTTTCCTCATCTGTAAAATGGGGGTGATAACAATGGGATTATCTGGAGTGTGAGGAAGAATAAAGAATGATTCTACATAAAATGCTTAAAACAGAATTAGATCTATGAATGCCGGCTCTTGGATGTTACTGTATTTTAAATATACCGTATTGAGAGGCGCCTGGCTGGCTCAGTCAGAAAAGCGTGCGACTCTCGATCTTGCGCTCGTGAGTTCGAGCCTCATGCTGGGTGTAGAGATTACCAAAAAATAAAAAATAAAACTTAAAAAAATTAAAATTAAAATACTGCATTTAGAAATCCTAGAATTCCCGGCCACTGGAGGTAGGGGGAGCTATTGGGAATGCAAAAAGGTAGAGACAGTAGGGAGACTAGAAATGAGGGCTCTGGACTCCAGGACCTGAGCCTTTCACATCCCTCCAGGCTGCCTCTCTCCAGGGTCATCTGCCTTTTGATTTCTCTGCTTTCCTCAAGCCCTCAGGCTCCACAGGCTAAATCTCTGGGAAATTGCCTTTATCAGGCTCTGAGGTTGGTCCGCCCCCCACCACAAGAAGCCAAAATAATTCATAAGACGGGACATCTGCAACTCATTCAAATCACGGCAGCCCTGCCCCTTCTGCACAGGAGAAACAGTTGGTTTCTGTTCTCGGGACGCCGCACATCACGGATTTGCTTCTTCCTCCACAGCGGGAAGCGCTGTGCCTTTATGACAGCGAGACACAAAGGGGTATGGAGAAGCAATTCTTTCTGACTTCCCCATGGTGGCTTCTGTACTGCGCGAGCCTCGGCAGGCACACGGCCAAGAGGAGCAGAGGGAGCGCGGGGCACTTGCTCCACGGTGGTTGAAGAAGCACCCTTCATCACACGGCCATCCTTGTATAAGACTCTCCCTCCAAGCAGCGCATGGGAGCTGTCAATGTATTTCCATTTCGTGGCAAGCATGACAGATACATGCCATACCAACAATAAGCCGGGACTTCGGAAACTCGCCGTCTAAGACCTGAGAGGACCATCGGTGGTGAGAATATTAGCGTGCTTTCTGTGTCAGGCATGGCACGAAGCCCTTACCATGGATTAACTCATTTGACCTTCACTTGATCCTCTTTTTACAGATGAGGAAACTGAGGCAGAAGTCAGGTCACTGGCCCAAGAGGATCCAGCCAGTAAGTCAGCGGCACCTGCGGTCCTCAAACACAACCACTTGGGTTTCGTAGACACAGTACAATTCTGCCTTTCACTGGTTTCCGAACTCAGCTACCCATCAGAATTACCTGAAGGACCTTAAAATGCCTACTTCCTGGCTCTTGTCTGCATTTTTTCAGGTGAAGTCTGGTTTTAGCAGGCTCCCCAAATAATCTGTAAGCCTGCTAAAACCAGACTTCAACCAAGCCCTCAAGCGACCTGTATTCTGCAAAGCACCATTTACAAACCCTGTTCTGCAAAGTACCATTTAAAAATCGCAGTGGCGATGTGTTGTTTTGATACGCCAAACCTCTGTGCTTCCTTTTTTTTTTTTTTTTTTTGTAGCAATGCCTCATTTTCCCCTTGAAAGCCATCCCACCCAACTGTGTTTACCATGTTTACGCTTGGAGGGAAGAGTGTAAAGACCCAAGCAAGGGCTACTTAAGTGACGTGAACTTGACCAATCTTTTTTCTTCCAGAATATGAATTTAAAACCAAAGAAACACAATAACCAGAATCAGATACAGCTGGCCTGATCATTCTGGTTTTCTCCCAGTTCTCTAAAGTACATCATAGCTTTTTCAAAAAATTCCTTTCTAACTTGAGTTAACCAAAGCAGGCTTCCTTTGCACACAACCAAACACCACCAGTGAAAGAGCCACCAATGTGGCAGAAACCCACATCTTGCCCAGATATCACCCATTTGGCATCATGGCAACTGATCTTTGCTCCACTGAGATGGGGAGTTAATATCCTTGGACAGCAACCCATTGGTTTGGGCTGCTCTTCTATAGCCCGAACAGATGGTCCCCTGTTCTGATTCTGTCCTTTGAAGCTATATTAAAAAAAAAAAAAAAAAAAAAAACAACTATACAACAGCTCTTTGGATATTTAAATGGCCTCGGAGCTAGACAGGACAACCCTCAGAGCACCTCGAAGCCCCCCTGTAAGGTGTTCTTTTGGCATTACGTAACACACACGCTGATGACCGAACACTTCTGTTGTGAATGCAGACATCAGGGACTGCAATGTTACGTAATGTAAATAGAATGTATCTTCCGCAGAAGGATGCGGTTTCCCATTGAGACGGGTGATAGATCAGACAGACATACTGCCTGCCTGCCTGTCCTGTTAGACTGAATTACACCTGACGTTATTCATCCTTGAGAGATACAGATGGGTCTCCTTTGAGCCAGGTGATGGTGAGATCTTACCATGATGCCTAGAGAGAGGCTGAACCCTAACTGTTGCTCCGCCTCCTGGAAGGAGCTAGTCAGGCTCGGAGCATCAGAGCTGAACTATAGGGTGACCCCCATTGGTATTACGTGAAACTGAACAACCCAGGCTCTAAGAAGAGTGCAGTACATGGTTGTGTTGCTTTATCTGAGCCAAGGAGACCAGCCAATGCCATAGGAGGAGGCAGGCCTTCTCTCTAAAACGGGGCTGTCTTATTGCCCCCGTGTGGAAGTGGGAAATGGGCAGAGCTGGGACTTCCCACCTTCTCTGGGGCCACAGGTGAATCGGCCCAGGCTCCTCAGGCCCAGCATCTTATCTTACCAGGGGCATCTGAAGATTCTCATTTGCAGATAAGCTGGCTCCCAGCTGGTGGGAGACCTTAGGTTTGACCACATCCAGAAGCAATGGAAACTTGCTGACAGTTCTACTCAAGCCATCATGCACATGTGATTTTAACTGAATTAAGTGGGAAGCCGGAGTCCACGCCGGAGGTGAAGTGGCACCCAAAACAGGCAAGACTGGAGAAACCAGTTAAAGAATACCGCAAAATCATCTCCAGAGCTCTGCAGGCAACAGTCTGGAAGGAGACAGTGAGCAGAACTGACAAGTGGCCACCGAAGTATGTGGAGAAAATGTAGCCTTTTGTTTTTACACGTGTGTGTGTTTGTATGTTTTCTGATACAGCGCGCCATAGGCAATGCTTTGTTGTCTGCTTTTCTCACCAGTATCTCATGACTTACATTTCCGTGTCAATAACATGTTAATTGCTGGGGCTTTTATTGACGTGTCCTTTGCCTATAATAAGGTACAGATTTGAAGCATACAGTTTCGTGAATTTTGAAAAATGCGAACACCGGTAAAGGCACCATCCCAGTCGAGACATAGAATATTTCCAGGTTTTAGCAGGCTGCCCAGATATTGTGACATTTTAATCACCGTGCAGCACCCAAATATGGATGTGTTTTACTTACATAAACCCTAACTGGCAGTCATTTAGGTAGTTTCGAAATTTCTGTTGGTATGAATACTGATGCAATGAATATCACTTTAGCTAACTAAATTTGCATATCCTTAAATAATTCCTCAGCAAAAAAATTGCTAGAATTGTAATTCTTGGGTCAAAAAGGATTAGGTTTAGTAATTATTAGGTTCAGGAAGTCATTTAGGCTTTTGATACATATTGATAATTTTTCCTCAAGAAGGATTATACTGATTTACACACTCACCAGGAATACGTTAGAGTGCGTTTTTCCTCCTCTACCTCCTGCGTATGCTTTCTGCTTGAATCCTATCTCTTCTGATAGTATTACTAAGACCATGTTTTACATTTATGTGTGTTTTTGCAGTATATCTTTGCCCATTTTATTTTTAACCTGTGTTTTAAGTTTCTCCTACACATTGCCTAGAATTGTACGTTGTTTATCCAATCTGATAGTCTTCAACTTTTAGTAGAGAATTTCAATCCCTTCACATTTGTTAGGTAACTGATATTATCTGCTGTCACTTCTACCATCTTAATTTGTACTTCCCAGAGTTTATAATTCCTTGCTGCCTTACTTTCATCTTGGTCCTGATATTTTGTTAAATTGACCAAAAGCTTTGTTATTTTAACTCCTAGATTGTTTCTTTCACTTAAAAAAAAAAAAAAAGTCTATTTGAGCCAATATGTCTATACCAAGAATTAAATAGTATTGAATACCTTATTTAGCATTTGTTAATCTGGACTCATTGCTTACTGTGGTCTACTTTTTTTTTTTTTTTTTAAGATTTTATTTATTTATTTGACAGAGAGATAGAGATC